CAGGGAGGTGGTAGGTTGGGATCACAGGAGCAGAAAGGAAGGAGAGGTGGAAGGAACACATCTACTCCTGTCCCAGAGAGGTGCCCAGGAGCTCGGTGCTTTCCCCTCCCCAAAGCTTCTTACTGTTTTCTGCAGCTTTCTTGATCCCAGCTTCATCCTCAGGTGCATCCGGAGTCAACCCCATCAGATCAAACCTAGGCGAAGAAGCAGGGTCAGCCCCAAAACTCTCCAAGCACCCAGAGTGTGGGGAGGTGGGAGCGGGGTGTGCTCTGCCCTTCCCCTGACTCCTACAGGGCAGTGGATTTTGGCTCTTCAGTCCTCTCATCCCTCTCATGTCCCAAAATACACCCTCAAAGGGTCCCACCCGTCCCTGCCACCCAAAGCACTGACCAGGAGGGCATAACCATCTTCATGTTGAGGGTCACTGGGATCCGGGGCCTGCAGAGAAAACAGTTTGGGTGTTTTAGTTCAAGTGCAAGAGAAGAAAATCTGAGGCAAGGGGAGTGGGGTGACCGGCCCTCCCGCCAGCAGCTGCAGGACACCTCTCCCACGGGACAGCAGTGGGTCAGTGCCACCAGACCCAGCCTGGGGGCTGTAAGGTGACCCCAGGGATCATCCGTGAGCCTCGAGCAGATCCCGGCTGAGCTGGCAGCTCCAGGGCGTTGCCAAGCAGCTCGCCCAGGGAGGAGAACACCTGCATCCCTCTCCTGTTCGCTGCTGCCGAGCCAGGAGATGCTGACAGAGCGGCTGCCTCTGCTGCTGGGATGGGGCACGGGGAAGCTGAGGCCCTGCTGCCAGGGATGCTGTTGCGGCGGAGCTCTCCCAGCCTGGTGAGTGCCCCTCTGCACGGGCTGCTACCGACACTGGGGACACATCGGGGAGCATTTCCTTCCCTTCCCGCTGAGCCCCATCCTGCCTGACCAGGGGGATGGGGAAGGAGCTCTGGTGCTTTTGGCTTTCACTGCAGCCATCGGGGAGAGGCAGAGGACAGGACAGGGGAGAAAACAGACTCAACGGGGTGTGGGGGGTGGGGGGGAGCCACTCTGCCTGCAGGCATAGAACATCAGGGCTGGGACCCTGAATGAAGTGGCCACAGCAGGACAGCAAGCCTTACCGCACAGCCCCACAGCCAGGTCAGGGCACAGGCCACCGTCTGCCTCCCCGGACAGCCTTGGCAGCGGGCACCAGCGTCACAGCCCCCCCAAGCCCTTCCCGAAGCAGGGATGGCACTTACGCGTGAGGGCAAATGTATTTCACATAGGGGAGGCGGATGGAGGAGAGAGCGTCAGCCCAGCTGTGCCTGCAGAGAGAGGAGAGGAGGGAGTTCAAGGCTTGTCTTAGCATTTTGGAGGATGCTGGTGAAGATGAGGGATTTCCCCCAAGAACAGGTTTTTTTTCCCAAGCTGCTGGCCCCCTGCCCGTGCTCCAACGTTATTCTACCAGGTCCTGCCCACTCCAGCAGCCTGAATCCCAACAGGAATCCCCGACACAGATCCCCTCTGCGGCAAGGCACAGGCAGCACACAAAGCCCCGCGGATGGAGGCAGGGGAGCTGCTGTCAGCGAGGGAGGAGGGAGAACCGGGAGAACCTCCCGTGCAGGGAGAAGCCTTTTGTTACTGACGTATCTCGCGCTGTCCTCTACGGTGGCCTTGCCCGTTACAGAGATCGCTCCCGTAGACACAACCCGACTCCCAAGGACTGGAAAAGCCGCAGTGCTTATCTGCGTGCCTGAAAGCCAGCAGAAAAATCAAACCCGCAGGAGGCGGGGGGCTGTCAGGCTGCCAGGATCATAAATATTCAAGTGCAGACAGCTGCTGGCCGGCGATTCCCTGCGAGGGTGGCACAGGCACGGCTGTCGGACCGAGCTCAAAGCTCCAGAAAAATACAGGAGCTGCCCCTGGGGAGAGCAGCAAACGGCCAGGCTCGGGCTCGCCTTTGGCGAACCAGGCGTCCCAGCCAAAGCCAGCTCCAGGAATACTCACCCCGTGTCTCCAAGGCCGTGTAAAAAAATGACCTGTTAAATGAAGCAGAAAAAAAACAAAAGGATTAGCAGGTGCGACAGCCGGTGGCCTGGGAGACATGCAGGGCTGGGCTCGCAAGGACGCGGCAAAAGGCCACTTAGTCACCAACTACGAGAGACTCAAAGAGGCAGGAATTAGCCAGTGCTAATGACACGTCTCTGCAGCTTCCAGCACGATGGATGGGTGGAACAGGCGCATCACCATCATCCTGCAGGGGA